TAAGGCTGCTATAAACCCAGCCCATACTGGGATATTTTGTTCTTTGTCTTGGTTAATCATCCTTAGTAGTTTCCAAACTGAGTCAGATCTTTTTGCTTCCAATATTGCTGCTGTTGGTTTGTCTTGCATAATATCAGCAACATCTGAGATAGGGCCAGGGTTTGATCTTTTGGGGGGTTTGATATATTTTGACAGTGTTTGATCCTCATATTTGTTAATATCTTGAGTGCTCAACGACTTGCTAGATTGACATGGTATGCTTGTTCCCTCATCTTTCATTTGGCTTTTTTTTTGATAAAGTACCATTGCGTATCTTCATTCTGGTCAAAGTTATCAATTGATGCGTCCACATGTCCAACTGTATCCTTATCTGGTATTTGGATGCCACTTGGTACATAAATATCTGATCTTCCTATCACTGTCTTTGCAGCTGATGTTGTAAAAGCTCTAATTTCATTGTAGGAAGTGCAAAACCCCAATACATTCAGACAATCTATGAGTTGTTTACTACCATGGTCATGTTGAAGCTTTATTCCAAGCGCCATTGATAATAGAGTCCAAGCATTTCTTGACAAAGCTATTATGCAATGGCAGATACTGACAACCTTCATATCAAACTTCTTTGGATTTGTACCAGTACCCTCGTTTATGCGACTTACATCTTTAAATGAACTTTCATTCGTACACCATGTCACAAAATCATAAAGCAACTCGGGAATAAATGTAGTGGTTATAAGTCATAATCAGAACCTGAGGATGTTGACTGTTTATTGATTGCTGCTTTTATATTACGTATATTTACATACCGTGAGTAACAAGTCCTATGATATTGGACATCACATGCAAATAAATCAGTATGGGCAGTCAACCGCCCAACCATCAGGTTATCATTTCTTTCATTGGCAGCTGTGAGTATTCTTTGCCTTGTGCTCTCCCCCTCATTAGTTGTGATTTTTGTTAGTGGGTATTTACGTGTTGATGTTTTGCTACACCCACTGATACATTGAACCCTATCAGACTGACGAACTGAACTTGAGGTAGACGCCGTCTGATCTTCAGAAAAGGTATTTTGAAATACTGGGGGTATGTTACTTTTACTAGTATAGCGTGACCTGCACCCATAATGAAATGATACATATATTTTTTGACTTAAAATGTCATTTCTAAACGGAAGCAAATTGTCATATACTTCGTCTTTGTACAAAGTTGCATATTTTATAATTGATGATAGGCCTTCTGTCTTAGGGGTTCTCACAAAGGGGCCCTTTATTTTATTTTTCAATGAATGCATGCATATAATACAGTTTTTAGGATTAGGTGGAGCTGGCTTCATCTTTTTTGGAACTGGCTCTGTCTCAGGGTCACTCATTGTGCTAGAGTTGCCACACCCAAGATCCATTGTCTTTATTCATCCATCAGATCTGTGATAATAAATAAAGGACAGTGTATCAGCTTTGAATTGATTGAATATCTGACATAAAGATCTAGATATTTGCTATTTTCTATTAAAGGAAATGCTTATTCAGTAAAACGAATTAGTATTACTATGGAGGAGATATATCATTTAGCTATATGGATAATAAATATCTACCTGTTACTATAGTACTTTGATTGCACACTTTGTCCATTGAAGTTCCCTATCAATCTTAATATGTATCACCCAATGGGTCGTTACCAAGAGAATTTAAATAGACTATATACCTGTATGATTGATTATTAATGAGATTTTATCCACTTAATACAAAAACTGTTGATACATTAATTACTTAGTTTTGATGTCATATTAATATTTTTTCATGTATACATTTGGATTTATATTAAATTTAGCCTGAGGTAACATAAACATAATTTATATCAATGAAGATATTCACACTTACCTTTTCTTATGTTTTCATAAATCTTTTCACTGCTTAAGACAAATTAGCAACAAATCAGACATCATTTGGTCATTTGAAGATAAAGCAAGGTATGCTTCCCAATTACAATGTGATATACATAACAGGATGTACATATATGCTACAAAAATCCCTATTCTTTGTTCTATGTCTAATCCAGGGGCACCATGCTTTTCCTAATAAATGTTCACTACCAAGAGGTAGTGAGAACATCTGAAAGGGCTTAGGATTAAGATTTCCCATAGTACAGTTATGCAGTGACCACAATATAACAAAAGATTTGAATATCAAAGAGGTTCATCCTATTCAATGTAGATAGTAATCAGCTTCAGGCTTTCATACAATGGGTTTCTAATGCTTTTGATCATTGAGTGTGTATTACAATAATCATTGTTATGTCACATACCTATAAAAGATGAATGAAACAAGTTATCTTAAATATATTTTATGAACATGTTAAAACATAGTTAATTGTTTCTAGATTGCTTCTATAAATAATCCGTATGACACCCTCAATTTAAACAGGTTCTGATAATTTGTATATGACCAGCAATTAAATTCTTAATCGTCCTAACAAAAATATGAATATTAATTAATTAATTTATTGATCATCTTTGTAGCCCTAGGCTTCTTTCTAAATGGCCACTGAAACCAAGAATCTTAACCATATTTTAATGCTGTGTCTTAACTGTCTTAACATACCTTATTATTAGCATTATCATTATTATTATATAATCGTCATTATTAATCGTTAATCGTTAATCGTTAATATTTAATTGATATGCTGTAATTAGGGTATTAGCATAGTTGGCATGTAAAAATGTTACATAAAATCATATCTGTTCTTTAGAATATGATTATTTGCTCTGTGTGTATGTTATTTTGCCACACCCACTTTTATACTCTTTTTGGGGGTTAGGGCACTAATGAGTGATAAAAAAATTATTTTAAGATGTTCGATAAGGAAAATATTCATATCAAATTGTCAAACAGTCCTGGTAGATCATCTTAAAATACTAATATGTGTTATATTATGGTGCAACTTATTTCTAATCCTAGCAATAAAAAAGGCATGGTAGAAAAATATAATATTTTTCCGTCATTCAGTATTCAGATGATAATTTCTTAAAAATACAAAGGATTTTTGTTCCCAGTTTGGTTTACTATTGTTAAACAAGCATTTTCTCATAAAACATCCAAAGGGTAGGTATAGTCATGCAAACCATTTAATCGTATTAAGCCTCTGGTAGTGCTACTTCAATTAAAAGATAATTAATTACATGCTAATTAATTCGTTAATTTATTCATGTTTGGTCGCGGAACCAAATTTCACAACATATATTTTCAGTTAGCTGACATATTTTCCTACAATATGGTACCAAACACCACTTGTTATACCAGGTGGGTAGCAAACCTTTTTTTAACTCCCTTATATTCAATTTATTAAGATTTCTGTTCATGAGACCAAAATCAAATACACATATTCTGGACATTTCAAGATAATATGTCTCCCGTCTTCTTGGTAGATTGTGTATTAACATTTTTTCACTAGCTTATTGAGTATGGATCGTTTTCGTTTGCCATGGACGCGATCATCTGTCTAAATTGCGTGCAATCTCAAATGAAAAGTACAAAATAGAGCAATGTAGCAACTAATTAGAGACTGGCGGTAATTCTGATAATACAGGTGTAAAAGGGTAGGAGGGGAAGGGGAGGTCTTACCAAATTATGGTCCTACTCTTCATTGATTTATATGGTGACCTCTTTCCCTTATTATATTATACACAATCGGGGCCTGTAAGGGCCGTTTAGAAGGGGACCATTATCCCTGGGGGACCATGATTTCTTTCACACCGGTTCGTTACGGAATTGAGCATGTACTGGTATTGAAACTACTTACCGGTTAACCGTTCGGGAAAAGAAAATATGCATTAATTTTAAATTTCACTCCTTCAATTCACATGTCCATGGCTTTTCATGCTTTAATTTGAAATTAGTACAGTATATAAGTATTTAAATGTCCATGTTTAAGGCATGATCTAGGGTTGTATTTAGTTTACTCTTCAAAGTCACATTTAGACACCGAGAGAATACTTGGTGTTACTTTGTAATGCTTGATGTAATCGTTCACAAATTGTAAGGCTACGTCAGGCTGTATTCGGACTTGCTTGGTAGTTAATAGGGAGGTGAAGAAACACGTTCTAAATAACTTGTACGTGAACTTCAGAATTACAGTCATCTACAATACGGAAAATAATTGTAATTAGGTCCCTAGAAAAATGGATTGAAATGTAACACACACCTCGCGTATAGGTTCTCTTAAAAACGTGAAACTTAACTTTTACTTAACTTATCTTGGTCACGGTACGGTAATTTTAGTGACAGTTATCGAAATATAGCCCGTTATTATGCTCACCCGATATATCACAGGGGCGGACCTGTGAATCAAAAAGGAGGGGGGGCAAATTTCCGGTCAGAGAAAAAAGTTCCGAAAAAAATTTTGGGCCCTTAAAACTCAAAAGTGGGTCCAAATTTTGGGGCTGAAATTAAAAAATAAGGCCTTACAAGGCCCTGTCATGAGGGGGGCGGGCAGGCCCCCAGATCCGCCAGTGTATCATTAAATACTTTGGATGAAAACCGATTTTAACTTTTGGGAAGCAGCACTAAGCAAGGAATTATTTTTATTTCTCTAAATCCAAAATTATAGATGTTCAAAAGTTCATGGACAAGGCCCATCTTACAAATTTTAAGTTGTTTAGTCCGCTTGTTTGAGATTTCATGCTATATCTTGCAATGCACTTCATTGCACGAAAAAACAAAAGAAAATTTTGTATTATTCAATAACGATTCTATGCAACCTTATGATATTTCTCAGAGTACTTACAGTGTCGAATGCATAAAATTAATTAGAAAATAAAAATATTTTCTGGAACAAATTATCATGACTGGTGCATTTCATTTATTTCATTTGAAATAGCATTTTATAAATCAAAGTAATCAATGGCAATTTTGATAACATAATAAACATAACACATAACATTACACAGGCAAATATTACACATATATTTTATGTTTAGTTCAGATTGTTTGATATTTATTTTGCAGGATTTAAAGGATGATGTTTATGCGGCTATAACACAGTGGCAGCAGCAGATTGAAGTATTTCGGAAATACAAACCAAAGACATTACAAAGAAAAGAGTTTTATGGCTACATCGATATTTGCTCCCTGGCTGCTGCAGGTACTACTGGTATAGTGATGATTGTGGAGTCATTGTATGGCAACAATGAAGCAATCCTTTGCAACAAACAACTCAAAATAATGAAAACACTGAACACAACTGGTGAACCATATAGCGTGATATCAACCCCTGATTGTAAGGGTGTGGCAGTGCTGTGTAGGAGACGTGATTACACTTGGACGGTGCAAGTGTTTAACACATCAGGTGACCACAAACGAGACATACCATTACAAGATACAATCAAAGCTGAAGCTCTTGCAGTGAATAGTATTGGTCAGATGATGATTGCGGATGGCAGCAACGCGTCCTTAGTGTTCATCAACTGGCAGTCTGGAAAGGAAGAACACACCACACCATCTGGATTTTTCGACAGTGGTTACGGCACATTCATAGCAGTGACTAAACAGGATCACATCATAATATCTCAATCTGACACTAATAACATCAGATGTGTAGACAGTCATGGTGAGGAAGTGTTCAGATACGGTGGTTGTGGAGAGAATGCACTGAATGATCCCTTTGGTGTTTGTGTAGACACACTTGGGAATATCCTAGTAGCTGACTATGGTAACAACAGAGTGCAGTTACTCTCACCTGATGGCAACTTCATCAGACACGTACTGTCAGAAAGTGAAGGGTTGAAGTATCCATGGTGTCTCGCAATGGACACAGATGACAACCTGCTGGTAGGAACAATGGGTTTAGAAAAATGTGAAGCATTTGTCGTGAAATATAAGCCGTAGATCTGGTCTCTTGTAGGTAAGTCATCATAAAATTAGAATAAATCATATGAATATAACTATTTTTGTATTGATAAAATCAACATGTCAACCAATAACCATGAATATCGAGAAAAATAAGGAAAGCATGCGAGGAACTAGTTACTATTACATTTGTATGGTGAATGCTATCAATTTTACAATCAAAATTCGCAAACAGTGAAATATCAAGACTTCTAAATGGCAACATCAGAAAATAGAATATAATACATTTGCTGAAAGTACATTTAATCCGTCAAATATATATCTAAATAAATAAACAATTCTATATTCTAGACGTTATACAATGAAGTGTCCAGAATCTTATTCCTATATACAATGTATGTCTCATTAAAAGCGTAAGAAACAACCTTTCAGATCAAAACTGGTAATCTGTATTTACTAGGCATACATGAATTCTTCTATTTATTATGATAATTTGCGACTTAAAAATCTGAGTTGAATGAAATAAAACGCAATGACTATCGAATCAATAAACTCAAAGGGCGACATAGGAAAAGCTTCAAATGAAATTAATAAAACATTAAATCAAATGAGTAAAACAAATATATATTCCCCTTATAATTCAGACGGCGTAATTGTAATTCGTTATGAATATATTGCCTTTCATTCTAAAGAGGAAAAACATCTGAATGATTTAATACATTTTAACAACTAGAGACTACCAACAGTCAGTTTTACTTTAATTTGTTCCATTTTCTAATTTTTCAAAAGATCTATCAAAATTGGCAAAAAGCCAGACCTTGATGAGTCAATTTAGTAAAAATCAAATCTTTAAAATTGCCCCAGAGTGAACATTTCGATGTTCACCGTCAGGGAGGATTGGCTCCCAGAATGCAACATATATTCTGCCCCATATATGGTATCGTGACCTTAACCTTATTTACACACACGTGACAGGTTTTAAAAAGGCGGAACTGCATGTTACGTGTAAATAAGGTTGAACGTCACGATACTACATATGGGGCAGAATATCGATGTTGCATTCTGGGAGTCAATCCTCCTTGGTTCACGGCTGTTAACAAATCAGGGGATATCTCATCTTTATTTTCGAAGTTTCATTTAATATTGATTTAAGTGTTTAGAAAATCCCCCTTATTCCCCGAGAAAGATCTTGCTAAGAAAATCCCCCTTAATATTTCCCGAGAAAGACTGATATGAACAACATTCACGGCCGTTACCTTACCTTACCTTTCAAAAGCGGCAAAAGCTTTAACATTCAGTCCAATTCTGAAAAATAGGACCCACGGTCCTGTGGTCACACAGTTTGGAACCTTCAGAGGAATGTACATCCTGACTTTCAAACAAGAATATTGATTTGGATTTGTAGTCTCGAACTTTGAGAAACTTAGATAGCACAGTTGTGTGACCTAGTTTGATGACCTTTGACCTTGAAAATTTTACTTATTATTCAGAGCTCAGTAAGGTCTTTTGTGATTAAGCTGACCCAAATTTACATCCAAAAATCAATTTGAAAAATCAACTTTTTTTACCTTTCGAAGGTCACTGAAGGTCAACTAAAGGTCAAATCCTAAAACTAATGTCAGATTTGAACTCCTGGCAATTTGTAAATGATTTTCAAAAAAAATTTGGTCAAATTGAAGCAAGTTGAATAATAACTTATTTTTACTGTTTTTTTTATGTCAAATATCTCAAAAACTGTAAAAATATGAAGCTGACATATATCGAGCAATATGTAGGGAATGCTTAAATCTAGTAATGATGTAATTCATTGCAAGAAATGATCAAGTATGAGGCAAACTTTAAGAAACTTGTCGATCACAAAACCTGCCATTGACTTTATATATGAGAAAGTTTCCTGAAAACGACTAAGTCCTACTTTTTGTCAAAGTTTATAGAGTAAACACCAAAAACTGTAATTCCAAGAGCTTTGAAATCTTCAGAGGACATAGGTTGCATATACATCAACTACTACAAGTTATTTGAAAGTTCTACTTGAACTTGAAGTGTCTAGTATTTACAAAAATTTTGACTTTTTGACGTCAAAATCAGCAATTTCTCGGAAACCGGGCCAACTTGGGAAATGGCGATGATAGGTCAAATAGGCATTATGGATATGCATAAAATGAAAGTGCATGTGACTCAATCCGAATAGCAGTTTTAATTTGTGCGGCCAATGTTGACGGACGGACGGACGGACGGACGGACGGACGGACAGACGGACGGACAGAGGGACCAACGGACGGACGCCTGGTTGATCCCATAGGCTCACTGTGTGAGCCAAAAATAGCATATGCCAACTCTCATGACGTCAATCATCAAGACACCTCCATGTTGATGTGACAAGCATATGCAATTTTATAGTATGATATTAAAAGGTTGACGACAATAACTTTGAATTCGAATTTTATAATTTTAAGGGTTTTGGGTTTCGAAAACATAAGCAGACATCATGCATTTTAAGCAGATATATATTTTTTTATTTCAGAATAGATGGGGAAAACATGAGGATGTTGAAGATATATTTCCCCCATCAAGACTTGGTTCTAGGGATCACTCTGCGTTAACGTTTTAAAGCAATTGTTCCATTAATGATTCTAATTCACAAAAGTCAGTGTATGAGAGACCCCTTGAATGAATGGTTGGTTATATAGATGGCGCTACACAAAATGCCACCTCGACTCTAAATAGAGTGACACTTCAGGCCTATATACTTCAAGAAATCATTACATCAATCATTGGATCAGGCGACTATGAATGAAAGATTGATGACGCTGGATAGGCCACATCTCCTCTTCATAAATAATAAAATAACCACTCTGTTAATGATTCAAGAAGTCAATGGATGACCGATCGCCTGTCAATAAATACGTAGACTTGTGCAATTATCCCGTCATGTTTCATAATAAGTCATTTGATAATAGTGGGATCAGTTAGGACAATAAAACCCTAGAATTGCACTTGCTATATATAAAGCAAACTTTTTTGACAGAAGTATCATTGATACATATATATTCGATATCTAACGAAGTGGTATTGGAAAGTGGCCCCAGTTGATAATAGCAGCCCTCGAAGATTCTGCACATTTACGTTGAGCCCCATGTTAATTTATCAATCTTCTCAAGACCCCCTGCAGAACAGTTCTAGAGTAATAAAGCCAATATTCCCAGTATGTTACAATTATATGATTATCATCAAAATAATAAGGGTTAAATTTTTTCTTTTGCCCAGTTCCAAAGATATTGACGTTTGAATTTTGGAAAATCTCCATTGGCTGCCATTATAAACCACTATGAATATGGCTTTACTAAAGTGTTAATTTCTCAAAAAGTTTACTATGGAATTTTCTAATATTGCAGATTTCTATAATTAATATATTGAATTAAAAAAAATCAAACAGACACATTTCTAAAAATTTCTTATTTCTGAAATATTTAGCTATCAAGTTACGCATAAAACTATACAAAACCTGTATTGAGCCCCATGTTAATTCACCAATCTTCAAAAGACCCCCTGCAGAACAGTTCTAGAGTAGTAAAGCCAATATTCATAGTATGTTACAATTATATGATTATCTTCAAAATAAGAAGGGTTAAATTTTTTCTTTAGCCTAGTTCCAAAGATATTGACGTTTGAATTTTGGAAAATCTCCATTGGCTGCCATTATAAACCACTATAAATATGACTTTACTAAAGTGTTAATTTCTCAAAAAGTTTACTATGGAATTTTCTAATATTGCAGATTTCTATAGTTAATACACTGAATTTAAAAAAATCAAACAGACACATTTCTAAAAATTTCTTATTTCTGAAATATTTAGCTATCAAGTTACGCATAAAACTATACAAAACCTGTATTGAGCCCCATGTTAATCATCAATCTTCAAAAGACCTCCTGCAGAACAGTTCTAGAGTAAAAAAGCCAATATTCCTAGTATGTTACAACTATACGATTATCTTTAAAATAAAGAGGGTAAAGTGTTTTCTTTCGCCTAGTTCCAACGATATTACCGTTTGAATTTTGGAAAATCCCCATTGGCTGCCATTATAAACCGCTATCAATATGGCTTTACTAAAGTGTCCTTTTTTCAAAAAGTCAACTATGGAAGTTTCTAATATTGCACACTTCTATAGTAAATATATTGAATTAAGTGATAACTTACTGAAATACTGGCAAAATGTTTTAGGCTTATGCCATTATTGCACTAATAGCTGTAAGACCTCTGCTAGAGAGGGAATTTCCAATATGGCCGTTCAATTGAAAATGTCTGCTATTTTCTGCTATTTTGGATTATTTTTTATAATCCGACTTCAATTTATTTTGCCTATGGATTTCTTTGAAGGAGTTCATTCCATAAATAAATAAAATTATAACATGCACGATTTTTGCTATTTGTAATGAAATAATCATTGTACATGTTGACAGGGATTCATTTTATCTTTTGAAACAATTAAGTATGAATAAAACAACATTTAGTTTACAAACTTGAAAGACATCAATATATCTTTTTTACTTGAAAGGGGATGCTGTTGGCGTAAGTTTCTGATATTAAGTCCTAAACATTGGGTCAAACATTGTACCGTATATTTATTTTCAAAATATGTGATTAAAATCATTTTCAGAGCATTTACGATGTGATGATAACATGAGTTTAGTTATCAGGGACTTATCAAGACTTATTATTACGTTTTAGTAATTCATTGTATTAAAAAATGTATGTAATCTTGAAGAACATGTAAAGCAAAGACCGTAAAAAGTTAAAAGAAATAGGATTTACACTTTAATCAAAGGCATATTTATAGCGGTGTATGATGACAGCCAATAGACATTTTTCAGAATTCAAACGCCAATATCTTTGGAACTAGGAAAGAAAAAATGTTTTGACCCTTCTTATATTTTGAAGATAATCATGCTATTGTAACACAATAGCAATATGACTTTATTACTCTAGAACTGTTCTGAGGGTGGTCTTTTGAAGATTGATTAAAATTAACATGGGGCATAGGTTTTCTATGGTTTTGTGTGCAACTTAACGGCAAAATATTTCAAAAGTAAGAATTTTTTAGAATTGTGTCTGTTGGATTTTTTAAATTCAATGTATTAACAATAGAAATCTGCAATATTAGAAAATTTCAGAGTAAACTTTTTGAGAAATTGACACTTTAGTAAAGTCATATCTATAGTGGTTTATAATGGCAGCCAATGGAGATTTTCCAAAATTCAAAACGTCAATATCTTTGGAACTAGCCAAAAAGAAAAAATTTAATCCTTCTTATTTTGAAGATAATTATGTTATTGTAGCATACTAGGAATATGGGCTTCATTTCTCTAGACAGTTCTGCAGGGGGTCCTTTGAAGATCGCTAAATTAACATTGGGCTCAATTAGTTTTTTTATAGTTTTTATTAACGGCTTAATAAAAAGATTTTCAGAAATGTGCATGTTTGATTCTTTTAAGTCAATATATTAACTATAGAAATCTGCAATATTAGAAAATTCCATCGTAAATCTTTTGAGAAAATGACATTTAAGTAAAGCCATATTGATAACGGTTCATAATGGGAGTCATAGGAATTTTCCAAAATTCAAACGCCCATATCTTTGGAAACTAGGAAAAAATATAAATTTAACCCTTCTTAATTTAGAAATAATCATGTTATTGGAATAAACCAGCAATATGTGCTTTATTACTCTAGAACTGCTCTGGCGCCGGTCTTTTGAAGATTGATAAATTAACATGGGGCTCAATATAGGATTTCTATAGTTTCGTGTGCAACCTAATGGCTAAATATTTCAAAAATAGGAAATTTTTAGAAATGTGTCTGTTTGATTTGTTTAAATTCAATATATTAACAATAGAAGTCTGCAATATTAGAAAATTTCATAGTGGACTTTTTGAGAAAAGGACACTTTAGTAAAGCCATGTTGATAGTGGTTTATAATGGCAGCCAATGGAGATTTTCCAAAATTCAAATGTCGATATCTTTGGAACCAGGGAAAAGAAAAAATTTAACCCCTCTTGTTTTGAAGATAATTATGTTAATGTAACATACTAGGAATATGGGCTTTATTGCTCTAGAACTGTTCTGCAGGGAGTCCTTTTAAGATAGCTAAATTAACATTGGGCTCAATATAGGTTTTTTATAGTTTCATGTGCAACTTAACAGCTTAATATTTCAAAAATAAGAAATTATTAGAAATGTGTCTGTTTGATTTTTTTTAAGTCAACATATTAACTATAGAAATCTGCAATATCAGAAAATTCCATAGTAAACTTTTTGAGAAAAGGATATTTTATTAAAGCCATATTGATAGCGGTTTATAATGGGAGTCAATGGGAATTTTCCAAAATCCAAAGGCCAATATCTTTGGAACTAGGCAAAAGAAAAAATTTAACCCTTCTTATTTTGAAGATAATCATATAATTGTAACATACTGGGAATATTGGCTTTATTACTCTAGAACTGTTCTGCAGGGGGTCCTTAGAAGATTGATAAATTAACATGGGGCTCAATGTAAAAATGCAAAATTTTCAAGGGCTGCTATTATTAAATGGGGGCACTTTTCATTACCACTTCGTTAAATATTAAATCTATATGTATTAAGGATACTTTGGTAAAAAAATGGTGCTTTATATATAGCAAGTGCAATTGAACAGCTAACTTGCCCCACTATAAGGCAACCCCTGAATAGAATGTCTTCATTATAGATGGGAAAAAACAAGTCGCATCTCAACTTGAATTGGCACACATTATTCAAACTCGAGTACTCCATTGCCTGGCGTGGAACAATTTAGTAAAAGCATTTCTGTAAATTTCTCTTTGGACAAAGTATTTCGTACATTACGAATTTCACGGTAATATTCAAGTTTCATTGGCAGTTCTAGTCTTCAAAATATGAGTAGTTTTGTTACCAAATTGGTCCAAGCCGGGCAACGAAGTATCGAGTTTGAATAACGGCTTACAATCCTCCTTGGTTGCATCTTAATTAATTCGTTTGGCAATGAATTGTATGGGTAGTCTGAGCTCATATATATATATGAGGATTATTAAATGGGAGGTTTTGGATATAGGGTATATCCTGGGGAAATACAATATATCTACCAGAGGGACAGTATGTATCGAGTGTGGACATATTGTATTTCTCGAGCGTTATACCATGTATCAAACACCCAGCATTAGATTAACTGATTTATCCTATACCTAGTAGATTAAAAGGCTTCATTTTGGATATAGGGTATATCCTGGGGGGAAATACAATATATCTACCAGAGGGACAGTAGGGACCGAGTGTAGACATCTTGTATCTCTCGAGGGTTATACCATGTATCAAACACCCAGCATTCGATTAACTGATTTACCCTATACCTAGTAGATTATGAGGCTTCATTTTGCTTTGAATGCTATGAAAACTTAGTGTAATGATTTCAATTAAAACATGAATATTTTATCTCAATTTAAACATTCTTAACATTTACTGTTTTTTAAAACTCTAAAAACTGTATATGAAATCAATATCTAATAATGATCTTAAAGTGATATTGTTCTCCGTTGTGTTGTCTGGCGTTGACAAAAATCCTGATAAATTATTTTACAATTCAACACTGTCAATTTCACAAATCTCTCTGATTTCACCCAGTTTGTTGCCAAGTAGGCCTTCAGAATTTTCACGTCAAATTTGGTTTTACTAACACCAAGTGTATTTTCATCTTCTGTTTCATTCAAAAATTAAACCACGTTTGCATTGCTGAATCGTTGAATTACAACAGATTCTGGATTAAACTTTAGCCAGTCATTTGGCCACAGTCATAATAGAAGCAGAAATATGCGGTTAATTCCTACATATTATATAATACAATTATGTAAAAATCAACCGGTATTTTTGTTTGAATTAATAAAACACAAATTAAAACAAATAAAAATGATTTGAACTTAAGTTTACCTGACATATGGGTCAATTAGGATTTCAAAATAGATAAGTGAAAAACGTCTCGATTATTAATAAATTTTTAATTTGCACCACGGCAGGTGAATTTAGTTGTTCAGTTACCATTGCCAACTTCCCATATAATTAAGTCTGATCGCCATGTAACATATTGATAGTAGTGTTTCAAAAAGAGGTTCAAGAAGAAGTAAAGTAAATCTATTTGTTAGGAATGGCAACACAAAACCATCAGTAAGTTTTTGAATCTATAGTATTTTATAGGCTTATAATTAAATAATTAGATGCATTTTGCAACAAGTAGTCGTTAGTTATGTTATTAGTTGTGTACTCGTGTGTAATTAAATGTTAAAAGTACCAGTTTCTATATATTGAAAACAGTTTTCATATCTTATAGCCAACAGTTACGTGTAAAGCTAATAAACTCTAAATTAAGTAACGTGATAAATTCTAAATAAAGTTACGTGAATAGCTAATAAATTCTAAATAAAGTCACGTGGATGGCCAATAAACTCTAAATCAATTACGTGAATAGCTAATAAAATCTAATTTAAGTTACAGGAATATCAAATAAACTCTAAATAAGTTACAGTTAAAGCTAATAAACTCGAGATAAGTTAAAACATATTCACGAAATACCTCGTCGCACCTGTAATAATGTCAATACCTTGAAGTTTGGGTACCAGGAAAAGAAAGTTGTTAATCAAACTGGCAATTTTTATAAAGAAGGGAAATGTATTGATCATTAGTTATACATCTTTTATTTTAAAAAATGTTTGCCTATGGTGTAGAGATTGTTTGTTATCATGTTGAAAAATGGTGTTGTTAATGCGAAGAAAGGTAGATATATAATATAAGGTTTGGTTTTTTAGTAAACTGGTTGAAATGTTTATTAGAAATAATGTAAATATGTTTCTAACATTCTTTTTAATTTATACTGATGTAATTGTACTCGAGACTCCAATGCCCTAAATTGGGTAAAGAGAAATAAATGAATCTAAATCTAAATAACAGGTACGTTACCCATATCACTATTAGAAAAAACATATTTCAAAATTAATTATTGTACAGGAAATGATTATCCGTTTATAACTGGGAAATATACAGGTCAGTAGGTTATCATTTCAGTTATATGTTTTATGTTTCGGTATGTAAATGCAAGTACGAACACCTGCAACAAAAATTAAGATGACCCACTGGGCTTCATTTAAGCGTTTTCTTTTTAATTGTTTACTCTTCATCCAATAAGATCTGGTTTTCAGGGTTGTCATTAAAAGGATGAAACAAAATTAACATCACTGAAATAAAATAAACTTGGTGAATTATGTGGATTATGATCATTCCTACACCGAACTATTAAATGAAATGAATAACTTGTAGCGTTATCCCGTTTAAGTACTCTCTATGTCTTAATCAATACTCATATGTATACACATAGTCATTTAATTCCATTGAGGTGAATACCTGTCCATCTTTCTGAATGGGCTAGTATAATAACAGCTTGTGAAAGTGTCACAGGTATTTCCCAAAAAATAGAATTAAATATTTGTTTTATCATTCACTGTTATATTCCTCACTCACATTAATGTAAAAACAAATTCTATACCATACTTTTCAGCCCGTTACAAGAAAAACATGACATCGTCTTTCAGAATAAGCAAATGGCTTGCGGTCGCTTTACAGAAAACTAGAGAAAGAGGTAGTTCTCCAAATAGTGAATTACAATGATCAATTTATAAACCCAAATTCATTGTTACACCTAACATGTGTATTGAATCATCTTTTACGTAGCCATCTTTGGCGGATTCTGATTTCCAACGCCCATAGCGTTTAAAATTACGATCTAAAACTTAACAATTGGCTGCGGCAGTTGCACCGCCTTAATGTAATGAGTGAACGCCCAAAATTGGATCTAGTCCAATCGTCTTTACATACTATAGCTATGGATAATTTCTCTAACTGTTGTATACGATAATTGCGTGTTGTATGTTCTGGCAAAAATCCTCTTTGAAGTGTGTTACCATAAATATAACAGAAATAAAAAACAGCAATTAAAATATAACAATAGGCCTATACAGTACTATATTCTTGAAAAACCAAATGAGATAACAATAATATGTAAAATATAATTTGATGCTAAAGTGATGTCCAATCAATGAGACAACTCATCGTCTATTAATTGATGTTGATAGATATAATAATCCTTGAGAAGTAGTCCAATAATGTTCGTGAGAATTCAATGTTTGGTGATAGTCCACAAATGTTTGATGATAGTCCACAAATTGATGATAGTCTGCAAATGTTCGATATCATATATTATTATATCACTATCTAGCTACTAGCGACAGTATGATTGATCAAAACCGGGTCACATGTCGTGGGATATCTGGCGATATTCAATGGCAATGCTAATCAGATAAGACAACCGTGAGATATCTAGCGATATCCCACGCTCCCGGGAATTTTCAAAGAATTTGTTTTCGTTCAGTGTAAATAATTTAGTTCAGTGTAAGTCAAAATTGCAGACGAACCGAGTAGATTCGTAAAAATATCTGAAAACGAAAAGTTGATGTTATTAGAGAGTGCACATGCAGACAATACAAAAAGGTCGACTAAAAGATCTATAAAAGTGTTTCATGATTGGATGAAAGCATCTGATATTCATATGGACTTAGAAAACGTGCCAAAATCTGAACTCAATTCAAAGACAAAGACAACCATTCAAAGTTTGACATTTATTGTACTTTATTTTTCAAATTTGAAATATATGTATTTCAATATTAACCTATAACTTAATAATATTAGGGATGTTTAGCTAGACAGTGATATAATAAAACAAATATTTCACTCTATTTTCGGTGAATACCTGTAGCACTTTCACAAGGTGATATTCCACTTGCCCTTCGGGCTTGGGAATATCACTTGTGAAAGATGTACAGATATTCACCTCAATAGAGTGAAATATTTGTTCAATATTCCAAGTTCATTGATAGTCCTCCAATATTGTTCAATTTAGTATTTATAACCAGTGTTCAGTTATTTGGGCTGTAATTTTGTATGCCCACGGTGCTAGTGAATTGCATAATATTTTAATGAGTTTGTGAGTTTTTGAGGTATCACTAAAGTTGAACAATAAGCCTTGCAGTGCAAATCGCATGCTCATGGGTTTTCAACAAAAATAGTTCAACCAAGCGCACTCATACTCACACTCACACTCACTTGCACTAGCAACTAGGCGACGCGGTTTACACACGCGGTAAAGGCCCCCTCACATATGAACGATTCCATCAAACTCAGCCACAGTACTGAGACCAAGGTCAAGGTCACAGTGTTATAATATCTTGTCAACAAAACTATGACTCATTAACCTTTAACCATCTAGAAAATCCCAGAACATTGTAAGCACTTAAAAGATTAAATCATGTGACAAGAGATGTCCAATCAAGGTGTATTTCTAGAATTTATCACATTCTAGAACTTCTGGAATCTTGTACCTTTGACCTTTGACCTGTAACAAGTGCTTAAATGATAATGCCCTAACTCATTTGTTGGGCTCAGCGCTTAAAAAACGCTGTAAAAGAGCATATTGACAAGTAGAGTTACTCGTTTTGGCAACGACAACTGAATTTCCTTCTCTGTATATTTCAGAAATGCCACCAAAAAATGATCTGAGCTAGTACATTCGCTGTAATGCAAAAACCTGCGAATTCCAAAAGGCAAATTGTCATTTCTTAAATATTTGAGAGAACTTTGGTGTGATAAAGAGTCTACCATTTTGCAAAACATATCTGGAGTGAAAGGTTCTTTCTTCACAACTGGTTTATTCTCCTGTCTCTTAGCTGCATCTAGAATGTTTCGAACCAAGTAAGACTGATAGGGGTCCTCTAAACCTGCAGGCTCTGCAGATGTGTGAGCCCGGCTTATTCCAGATTTAAAGGCATAAAGTACGTTGTATGATGAGCCACTTTATAACTGTGACAATAGGAAAATGGCTACGAACTTTGAGTCAGCTGGTAGATCGGTTACTGTGTGTACGTGGGTTGATCCAAAAGTCCCGAACCGTTTGCTCTAAACAATTCATTTGACAAGTAACATAGGTATCTGGTTACCATAGCAACATGACAACAGGGTATGCGGAGCAAGAGAACGACACGTTGTAGGGTTGGAAAAAAGTTGACACTTGAAGGCTGTATACACTATACAGGGTACCAAATGTATTTCAAATTTGTTAGCTATGCCTATTAATAAATTATTCTTTCATTAGACCAATGCTATATGTGTGATCTGATATCATACAAGCTATAGTTGGCAACTGTGATGTCATTGACCAGGAGAATGCCTTGCGCCAAAAGCAGTCAAATTAAAACATAAAATCCAGTTCGATTTCGACAATGCGCAATTCCATACCTCAATACTTACTCAATCGTCAATGAAAATATGCACATGCCTTGGCTTACCCTTGCATCCTTCTCACTATATCTGCCTCCCTCTGACGTTTATCTTATAGTGACCTGAAGTACAAATTACAAGACATGCTTTTGAACATTAAATGAAGTATTGCTGTTCTTGAGTGGCTTTCTGGGACAGGTGATGGTGAATTTAAAGATGTGTTTGATCAAAGGGTCAGCAGATATACTAAGTGTATATAAGGGGATAAGAAACTATTTTGCGAAATTAAATCAAGAACTAACAATAAGATATGGCCAAATTGAAAAAATAATTGGTTAATAGGCAGGCATGACTGACACATTTGAAAGTTGGTACCCTGTAACACTCTTTTAGAATCAACTTTTTTCCACCTCTACAACATGTCGTACTCTTGCTCCACATACACTGTTGTCATGTTACTATGGTAACCAGATACCTATGTTGCTGGTCAAATTTATTGCATATTTTTACACAAAATGAAACTACTATATATGGGGTGGTTGTGGCCAAATATGAACAATTTCCATGAAGTATTAAGATTTTTAGAGGAAATGGTTCGGAACTTTTGAATCAACCCTCGTACTATCTTTACTCGGTTTGTTTAAACCCCAGTCACATTTGTCGCACGGCGGCCGCAAGTCGACCGCAGATCAATTAAATCGGTGAATTTCTGCGGCGAGCGTAGAAAAACTACGCTCGCCTTGCGGCCTCCGTACGGCGAATGCAGATTTTTACAGGCCGCAGGGAAGGCGTAGAAATTATAACTCGGAGTTATAATATTTGTTCATTTCTGAGGTCCCCGTAGA